TAAAATTATGATGAGGTACATGGGTATTTATAGGTGCTAATTACCTCTAGTTCTAAACTTACTAGGAAACTAATAAAACAATAAAATATTAAATCCTAAGGTAAGTAAATATCCTACTACCATAAAATCCTAAATCTACTAGATATCCTAATTACTTGTCTTGCACTCCAAATAATTCTAGAAGCTCAAGTCTTGCGCCTCATGTCTTCGACCGCCTCACGCACGCCGCCTCCGCGTGCGCCGACTTGCACATTGCCTACTCCTTGTGCTACTAGGCGTCGCGCGTCTTGCCCTGCACGCGCGCGCGCACCGCCCCGCTCGCCTAGTCCTTGGATGACTAGGTCTCGCGCGCCTGCTGCGCCACTCCTATTCCTTGTAGGACCATGCCTCGAGCCCATATCCACTATTCCTATTCCTACTAGGAATATGATCCCGATTACGTTTCCTGATCTTCCGAGGATTACTCCCGTCACCGATCTCCCACGCACGTTCCGGTACTCAACTGCTTTTCCTATTCCTGCGAGGATTACTATTCGCGCCTTGCCTATTCCTACGAGGATTGGGCTTGCCACCCCGGTCTTGACTTGTGCCTCGCGCGTGTCGCCATGCGCCCCGCGCTCATCGTCCAGCGCGTCCAATGCCCGCGCATCGCCCATCGCTCGATGCGCGCCCGTCCTTCCGCAGCAACTCCCCTCGCGCGCCATCCACCCAACAACCTCCCACTGTGCGCCACTTCGCCTACTCTCCAAGCGCCATGCGCGTCTACGCCAATGCGCGTGTGCGCGCCTTTGTCTACTGCCTTGTACGTGCCACTTCTCATGTGCTTGAGTGCCCCGCATACGAGCTCGTTCCCGCCTCTTAGGCCATGTATGCGTCGTTTTGGCCCTATTTTCAGCCTCCTCAAGTCCTCTTGGCTCTCGACCCTTTTTGTCACAGGGGTCCGGAACCCACTTCCGTATCATTCCTCTCCTCTTCGAGACTTGCCTTGTCCTCAAGGATTCATCCTCGACCATCCAAACATCGGGCACTCTTTCTTCGATCTCGACCATGACTTCGCTCTCGGCAACCACTTCGATCATCATGTACGACTTACGCCCATGGTCCTCCTCGACCTTGATTACCTCGGCTTCTTTGGCCTCGTCGTCGATGTCATTCGCGCGCTCGATCGCGCCACCAATTATCTCGACGACCTTGAGTTCTTCATCCTTTGCATAGCCCACAACATCGGACAAAAATATGGTCTCCTCGTCGAGAATCCCCGCAAACTCGAACAAGAACATGGGTTCATCGTCGATCTCGATACCCTTGCGCTCGGCTTCTTGCTCATACGATCCCTGGAACTTCTCATCGGCCTCGGCTTGTTGCTCTTCCTTCATGATCTTGAGTTGTCTTTCATACTCCGCCTTTTGCTCTTACATCTCCTCTAAATATTCTTGCTCCCAAGGGGTTAATTCCCTCTCCAAACTTTCGAGATATTCGAGATCCTCCCAATCCCACTCAACTAATGGCTAAAACATCATGGTTCTCTCTTTTTTTTTTATGACTCTAATCGAAAAAAAAAAAAAAAAAAAAACCGAAAAAATTTCGAACCAAAAAATTCAAAAAACAAAAGAGAAATTCGGCCCCTCAACAAAAGGTAATAACCGAACAAAAATCAAACAAAGGACTTGATGACACACTTTTTTTTTTAAGACACGAAAAAATTTGAAAAATTCGAATAAATAAATTCGAAAATTTTGACCCAAAAAGAAAAGAATTTCGGCCCCTCAACAAAAGGTAATAACCGAACAAAAATCAAACGAAGGACTAACAAGATGACACCTTTTTTCTTTAAGACAAGAAAAAAATTGAAAAATTCGAATAGAAATTCGAAAATTTCGAACAAAAAAGAACAAAAATTCGGCCCCCTCAGCGAAAGGCAAAATCGAAAAAAGAAAAAAGATAGATAGATAACAATCCGATCAGCACCTCTCAATTAAAGCACCAATGATGACGGATCGTGTTGTTATCTATACTCGGGTTGTGAATAAACGGGCACTAGGGCCTTCGTTTATCCACGATAGGTGTATCTAACAGACGCACTATCGGCCTTCTCCTAGACACTGTGACTTCAAGACGCTCTAATCGCCTTCTCTCTGACACTATATGTAAACACGCACTAACGGCCTTGTTTAAACACACGTAAGAACATAAGTTCCCCTCTCAATTGGCTCACCAATTCAATACTCAATTCAACATATAAAATTATGATGAGGTACATGGGTATTTATAGGTGCTAATTACCTCTAGTTCTAATCTTACTAGGAAACT